TTTGTCTCTAAAGCAGGGTAATAATATCCTTGAAGGATGGAGGACTGGACCTATCATGAAAACAGGTAGGTAGGGGAAGGCATTTCTAATTTTTTTCTTCCTTGTATTTTTTTTATTATTGTAAAAAAATTATAGAAGAAAGAAAATATTGTTGGACTGTTTTATTCGACGATGTTGTTTATGGATTGAATGGGTCATTAGTAAAAGCATTACCACCATCAAAAAGGCATAACATAAAGAATTGGGAAAGATATTAGTGGAAGCGTCAAACTGCTACACCTATAGGAGATGATTGAAGGTGTCAATGAGAAGACACTAAGAATAGAGTTTGAAATTTGAGACACGATCATCTGCAACTACAATTTGAAAATAACGAACACAACACACATCAGACGATCAAAGCCTAAAATTATTACTCCAAATAATCCAACGGCATAACACAAATAGACCAATATATAAAAAAAAAAACAGTAACAAGCAGGCTTCTAAAAACAAAACTTCTCACATGAGAGCTTTCCCTAAAACATAATTTCTAAATAGCGCAATTCCTCTCGCTGCCATGATTTTCAAATCCCACGATTGTTGATTCTGTAACAAAGGTTACGAAATTGCATTAGAACAAGCAGCAAAACCATAAACAATATGCAACAGAATACAAAACCATTTGGGAATTACTGAGAAAAAAAGCCACTTAAAATACTTACAAATTTTATTGAAGGCAACAATGTCACAACTCTGGACATATTCAATGATGGGCTCAACTGTGAGACGTTCCTCAATAAGAGTGTCGACAGAAACTAGGTCATCCACGATAGTAAGCATAATTTGCAGTTTCTTGATGCCGTACCCAACAGGAACAAGTTTGGCTAAGACACAAAAACAATTGATATCAGAACCGAAAAAGAGGAGCAGACATGATAAGCAGAAAATAAAAGTACGCCATGCAAACATAATGGAAAGAAAAAGTATGAATTCTCTCTAAATGAAAGACTTGAGAACACAACATTTACAAATACAGAATATTGAATCATATAATTCAACTATTTTAGGAAGTACATCAAAATGAAAACAATTAAGTTCAAAATACGTAAAAATATCAACAACTAAAGCCAAAATATATAAATAAAAATGACATACATGCACCCCAAAGCAAGCCTTCCATGCTAACAGATCTCACTGCTTCCTCGAGCTTCTTCATGTCCGTTTCATCATCCCATGGTTTCACATCCATCAGAACAGATGACTTCCCGGCTGAAAAATAGAGTCAGCCGAAAATCAATGCACGCACAAAGTGCTATAAACAGGGGAGGGGAGGGGCGGCATAAAGTTCAAAGATAACAGGTAAATGACAACAGTGAAACTTACATTCTTTCTTTTTTCCAGATGCCTTCGCTGCAGCTGCCCGTTCCTCCGCTGCCTTCTTCTCTTCCTCTGTCTCTTCACCAAACAAATCCACATCATCATCATCATCGTCATCCTCAGCAGCAGCAGCAGCAGCCTGAAAAACAACGTACATTAAATGAAAGGTCAATAAAATATTATAGTTAACCCACACAATGCTAAAAAGAAATGAATCCAACACCACAATCGAAATATCTATCATAAGAAAGATACTTGCCTTTGTATCAGCAGCTGGGGGAGTTGCAACAGGCTCAGCAACAAGAGATCCCTTAACAGTGACACCAGATCCCTCACCAGAAACACCACTGTAAACAGAATATTGGCATTAAAATATAATCATCTCACGTGCCAAGTATTATACATATAATTGGCGAGCAAAGTCAAGGGAAGCGAACTTACGAGATTCTCAACAAAGCATCAATGTGCTTGAACCACCTAGACACATTGACATACTCAGTTGATGGAGCAGTTGGCAAAGCTGCATAGACAGTGAGATCATCCTTTGAAGCTTGGTACCTATAGAGCACGTGAAATGGGACAATACACAAAAAAGAAAGATAAGAAAAAAAAAATCATCAATCAGGTGTCTAACTGACCCCAAACATAGCAATTAGCTTCATTCCCTGCTCAACATCATGTTCTGCAGCCTTTGAAGCTTGTCCCTCCTCCATTCTTCTTCTAACCGTATTTTTCTAGAAAAAATACACTAAGATAATCAATTATCACCTAATGATAATCGATTATTCTAGAGAGGTTTCCAAAAAAAATTTCTAGATATACAACATATGAAAGGATAATTAATAATCATCCCAGATAATCGATTATTCCAGTGATGAAACTGAAAAACGACGCGCAAATATTCGATTACCACGTAAGATAATCGATTATCGCCAAACCCAAACTCATTTTGGACAAATATCAAGTGTTCAAAACACCAATTCTTAAATTACGTGTAAACATACTCGACACATCATTCATGCATACATGACTTATAGATACAAGGAATCTTATCTAAACACACACATCAAAGGTATAATCTAAATCCCATCATCATGCACATTACACCCAACCTCACTAAATATACTTCATATATCATCACACACCCCTTTATCACACATCTATATGTTAAAACTCTCACCCATACGTACCTTCATCCCTTTTTACAACTATACATACCATCATGAGAAAACCCAACAACAATCATGCATACTCTCTTGAGAAAACCCAACAACAACCACCATGATATTCACCATATCATAGTATAGAAGCACATTCTCATACATACACATGCATTAAAGATATGATTATCTACACCAAAAAAACAACAAATCTCCCTATCTTTTCTCACAAACTTTTAAATGATAACTACCCAATCTTTATCTATCATTTATTTATGTAAATTATAACTTCCAATTTTATATTTATAACTTTGCATGCTTCTCCTTCCTACTCCCCCTATTTTAATTTCTACAAATAAAGGTAAATGACCTTTTTGCCCCTAGGCAAAAATACAAATAAAACTAAGTTTCTTTTAAACTCTTCTCCATAAGAATTGAACCCACAACCATTTAATCCTAAACAACCATCTCTACCAACAAGCCTACACATTACATTGATAATAACACACATATCACAATCCAACAAACATACCAAACATGTGTTGCACTTATTAAAATAAAATTAAAGAATAACATAACAGTTATGCTATAACAAAAATGTACACACAAGAACACTAATTAACCACAAAAAAACTAAAGTCTCAAAACTAGTTTATTTCTAAATACTATATTTTTCATGGGTCTTACAAAGGTCTCCTTTCTTGTCATGCTCCTAGTAATCCTCTAGGAAGGTCCTTTATGCCTCATAAGGAGTTGCGGACTCATAATTCACTACTACACCTCACAAATGTATCATGAATTAGGGTTCAAATGGGATGATCCATTGAGGGCCCAATAATGGCAAAGGTGGCTCTTTACAATCACGACAAACTTGTTCATAGAAGGAATGGCTAGCGGCTAGTACATAAAGAATGTGCCTACTCACTTAAAGTGAAAACAGATTTAAACGACGCTGTTGATGGAGGGAAATGAGCGAGAACCTACTTAGGTTCTCATCACTATTACTACTGCTCCTACTAAGTCAGCTATGGCGAGCACAAGCTGACCCTATGAAGGGGATCTGCTCCCACCAGTAAGGTCACTTAACTTAGGGCTCAACGACGTGTGTTGGATTGGGGAAGAACATAAGAAAATTTAGGGGAGAACGACAAGTGAACAAGAAAGAAGAATAAAGAATTGAGAGAAGAAAGGCTTTACTTGTGTTGTGGTTTTTTGAGGAAAATAATCTTTTGTTTATTTCATTTGTGGATGGGAAAAGAAGGATTTAGGAGAAGAAGAAAAAGAGGAAGAGAGGTGGCTTGAATGTGGTTTTGTATAAGAAAAAGTAAAATGAAAATGAGAAAGATGAAAACCTCCTATGTGTACTCTCTCCTGGTCAAAGGAAAAGAACAAAAGAAATACTAAGGGTAAGGTGAAGAAGAAGCACAGACGTGTACATCAAAGTCTCACTTTAAAACTCTTATATGGTAAATCAAAGTCAATAACAAAAATATATTTTCAAATTGGACACACCTAACACTAATTCAGTCATTTTCACTTCACTGTTAACGATTGTAACGTAGTTAACCATTAGAATCTAATTTTATTATTTTAAAAAAAATGAAAATTTAATTGAATCAAATAAAAATTAAGAAACCTAATTAAATAATTATATTGAATATTATGACCAAATAAATATTTTAGCCTAATATGTGTTATAGTAAACTTAGGAAAAAAAAAGGTGAGAATAGCAATGTCCATATCAACATAAAATGACAGGTAACCCAATTTGATGATGGCCCATGCCCCCAATTGCAGATTCGGGTTAGGGTTTCAGTTTGAAGCAACTAAAACGGGATTATCTTTCTCTCTCACATTCACTGTGTCAGTCTCTCGTTTGTGCTGCCTTCGTTTGCCTTTCTCGCACTGGTAAGAAGCCTCCTTCGATCCATATTTTTTTCCTGTGGAATTTGGGTTCCCAAAACCTATCCTAATTGCAACACTTTCCTCTCCGAATTTCCAAATTCTCTTGGTGGAATTACATTTTTTTTGTGGTTTAATGGCTTTTTAGGTCACTTCGAAGTTCGAAGCAGTCTGTTAATGGATTTCAATCGAAGATCTGATTTTTCTAATTTTTTTTTGAAATTCTTATTGCTCATATTACAATTCGTTTTATGCATATTTTGTAGAAGAATTAACGCACATAGCAAGCATGGCAGTCACATTCTACGACCTTAGCTCTGCCTCTGGGTTGAAGAAGCTTGATGAGTACCTTCTCTCACGCAGTTACATCACCGGGTATGTCACTGCTTTCATCCATCTTCTTTTGTATATTTTCTTTCTTT